GCGCCGGCACCCTGGGAGGTAGCGGGGGACGTCGGGCGTGGGGACGTCGGGCGTGGGGGCGTCGGGCGTGGGGGCGTTGGGTGTGGGGACGTTGGGGTGGAGATGTTGGGGTGGAGATGTTGGGCATGGGGACGTTGGGGCGGAAGGACACAAGGACGTGGGGACGTCGGGCGTGGGGACGTTGGGTGAATGCGACATGGGGCGGAAGGACGCAAGGGTGTGGGGACGTTGGGCGTGGGGACGTTGGTTGTGTGGGACATGGGGTGGAGGGACACAAGGATGTGGGGGCGTTGGCGTGGAGACGTTGGCGTGGAGATGTTGGGGCAGAAGGACACAAGGACATGGGGATGTTGGGACAGAAGGACACCAGGGTGTGGGGACGTCGGGCGTGGGGACGTCAGGCGTGGGGATGTTGGGGCGGAAGGACGCAAGGACATGGGGACGTTGGGATGGAGATGTTGGGTGTGGAGACGTTGGGGCAGAAGGACGCAAGGACGTGGGGATGTTGGGCGTGGGGACGTTGGGTGAATGGGACGTGGGGCGGAAGGACAGAAGGATGTGGGGACGTTGGGTGTGGAGACGTTGGCATGCAGACATTGGGGCAGAAGGACACCAGGGCATGGGGACATTGGCCATGGGGACGTTGGGTGAATGGGACATGGGGCAGAAGGACAGAAGGACATGGGGATGTTGGGACAGAAGGACACCAGGGTGTGGGGACATTGGGTGAGTGGGACATGGGGTGGAGGGACACAAGGACGTGGAGACGTTGGCGTGGGGACATTGGTGTGGGGACGTTGGCGTGGGGACGTTGGCGTGGAGACGTTGGGGCAGAAGGACACAAGGACGTGGGGACATTGGGCGTGGAGACGTTGGCATGGGGACGTTGGGGCAGAAGGACACCAGGGCGTTGGGGACATTGGGTGTGGGGATGTTGGTGTGGGGACGTTGGGGCAGAAGGACACAAGGACGTGGGGACATCGGGCGTGGGGATGTTGGGCGTGGAGATGTTGGGGCAGAAGGACGCAAGGACGTGGGGACGTTGGGACAGAAGGAGACCAGGGCATGGGGACGTTGGGTGAATGGGACATGGGGCAGAGGGCCGCCAGGGCGTGGGGACATTGGTCACGGGGACGTTGGGTGTGCGAGGACATCGGGGACCCGAGGACGTGGCGACGTTGGGCGTGCGGGACGCGAGGACGTCGGGGACACGAGGACGCCGGGGACACGAGGACGCGGGGCAGAGGGCC